CTCATTTTGGATTTGATGAGAGTGTCTCAGAAATTTTGGGGACTTACTTGAATTTAGTCGGTATGGGGTTAATGTTAGTATGGTGTCAGTCGGTAGACTTTTATTTTATAGTTTGTGTGAAACAAAGGGTCAAGGTGGTGTGTGGAGTTGGGAAAATGAAGATGGGATAGGGAAAGAGTCCAACATGGAAGTGAATATGGAATTTCAAGTAGAAATTGGGTTGGAAGGGATCCCTGAGTGGCTCAGTGGTTTAGCGTTTGTCTTCGGCCCAGGGCGTGTTCCTGGAGTCCCGGGATCGAGTCCCACATCGGGCTCCCTGCATGGAGCCTGCTTCTCCCTCTGCCTGTGTCTCTGCCTCTCTCTCTCTCTCTCTCTCTCTCTCTCTGTGTGTGTGTGTGTGTGTCTCTCATGAATAAATAAATAAAATCTTTTTTTTAATTTTTTATTTATTTATGATAGTCACAGAGAGAGGGAGAGAGAGGCAGAGACACAGGCAGAGGGAGAAGCGGGCTCCATGCACCGGGAGCCCGATGTGGGATTGGATCCCAGGTCTCCAGGATCGCGCCCTGGGCCAAAGGCAGGCGCCAAACCGCTGCGCCACCCAGGGATCCCTAAATAAATAAAATCTTAAAAAAAAATGGGTTGGAGGCAAGATAGGGCTAGATTTGGAGTAAGAGTGTTAGGATTGATGCGAGTTGGGATGAGTTCATAGGGAGGATGTCAGAGAAAATTACTACAGTTTGAGATGAACACTATAGTTTGAGTTGTGTATGGTTCAGACTTGGGACTGAGACTATGGTGACATTCAGTTTTGGTCAACATTAAGTTTGGTTTATGGTTAGGGATTCAGGGTTTGGGTCAAAGTTTAAGGTTGGTTGAGGTGTGAGTCATACCTCAAGTTGGCATTTGGAATCAAGGACTTGTCAGAAACTAGGTTCCAAGTTGAGGTATAAATTAGAATTGAACAAGGGTTAAAGCATAGTTGAGGGTATGAATTTGGGTATGAGTTGAGGTTTCATGTTAAGATTCAGGTTTGTGTCAAGATTGGTGTTGAGAACAGTGTCACAGTGATAACTGGAGTTAGAATTATGCTTGAAGCCAGGGACTGAGGTCTTTCTCACCTTCGTATGAGCACTTGATCATATCAGACCAGACCTTCTCAATGAATGGCACCACCATCCATTGAGCAAGAGACGCTGAAGTCTTTTTTTTTTTTTTTAGGTTTTTATTTATTTTTTTCATGAGAGACAAAGAGAGAGAGAGGCAGAGACACAGGCAGAGGGAGAATCAGGATCCCTGCAAGGAGCCCGATGCAGAACTCGATCCTGGACCGTGGGATCATGCCCCGAGCTGAAGGCAGGCACCCAACTGCTGAGCCACCCAGGCGTCCTGAGACCTTGAAGTCTTAACATCTGACTCCCTCACCACATCCTCCATTTAATCCAGCCCCAAGTTCTGTTGATTCTCTTTCCTAAGCACATATTGAATCCATCCACTTACTGCCATTTCCACCTTCTAAATGACCTTATCTAAGTTACTATCATCTCTCATCTGGACCGTAGCAATGGTCTTCCTATGGGTCCACATCCCCTTAAAATCCATCCTTCATATAGCAGCTAGAGTCATATTTTGCAAATACAAATCTTGTTATGTCATTCTTCTGACTAGAGTCTAAGTGGTTCACAATCATCCACGGGATAAAGTCAAACTCACCATGACTGGTTCCAACCAACCCCCGGTCCCTGAGCTCCATCCATAATCCCCATTCCAGGATCTTTGCACATGCAGTTTCCTCTAAATGATGTGCTCTCCAGTCTCCTCCAATTTTATTCTAGTTAATGTTTACTGCTTTTTCAACTCTTAACTTATTGCCACTTCCTGGGTCAAAATCTCTAGGAAGTGTTTTCATAATTCCCAGCGCCTATCCTTAAGAGCACACATTATACTTGTAATTTTACATTTGTTTATGAATTAGTTATATTTCTTTTACACCAGACTATTAGCTCTTTGAGAGAAGGGACTCTGTCCAGGTCTGTGCACCACTGTATCCTCAGCGTCTAGCTCAGCTTGGTATATAGCTGGTGTTCAATATGTATTTCTTAAGTGTATAACGGATTGGATCGGAAAGACTGTGGGAGGAGGGCTGGAAAGAGTACTTCTCTAGTTGGATTGGAGGCAGGAGTGATTTGTTGGTTACTGTGGCTTCAAGAGACAGATTCAAGTTAGGAGGGGCACCTGGGTGGCTCAATTGATTAAACGGTTAGGTGTCTGCCTTCAGCTTGGGTCATGGTCCCAGAGCCCTGGGATGGAGTCCCACATTAGACTCTCTGCTGAGCAGGGAGCCAGTTTCTCTCTCTCCCTCTGCCTGCCCCTCCCCCTGCTTGTGTTCTCTCTCTCTCCCTCTCTCTCTCTCTCTCTCTCTCTCTCTCTCACAGTCAAATGAGTAAAATCTTAAAAAAAAAAAAAGAATTGGGTTTGGGTTCATGGTTTAGGATCAGATTTGAATTTAATGTTGAAATCTGAGTAAGGGGGGATCCCTGGGTGGCGCAATGGTTTGGTGCCTGCCTTTGGCCCAGGGTGCGATCCTGGAGACCCGGGATCGAATCCCACGTCGGGCTCCCGGTGCATGAAGCCTGCTTCTCCCTCTGCCTATGTCTCTGCCTCTCTCTCTCTCTCTCTCTGTATGACTATCATAAATAAATAATTTTTTAAAAAAAAGAAAAAAAGAAATCTGAGTAAGGAAGATTTTGGCTCTAGGAACCAAACACTCCAAATCACGTAGGAAACCTGAAGAAGTCACAAGATGAAGAGGCACCATAGTTGGTTAATTCACTGGCTCAAATACATTACCAAAGACCCCAGTTATCTCCATCTCTCTGTTTGGCCTTCCTCACTGTTCTGGCGTGACCTATCAGCCACTTTGCTCCATGGTTCCAGGAGGGCTGCCACAGTTCCACAATTTATATCTGGGACATCATCTGGCAGAATAAAAGAGAGCTCTTCAGGTGTCTTTTGAAAACAAGACAAGAGTGTTCCCCAGAAGTGACCCAATGATCTTCCTCTCTCTCCTTATTGGCCAGAATGGCCTCTCATGTCCATTTCCTTTTTTTTTAAGATTTTTATTTATTCATGAGACACACACACACACACACACAGAGAGAGAGAGAGAGAGAGAGAGAGAGAGAGAGAGGCAGAGACACAGGCAGAGGGAGAAGCAGACTCCATCTCCATGCAGGGAGCCCGACGTGGGGCTCGATCCCGGGTCTCCAGGATCACACCCTGGCGTGAAGGTGGCGCTAAACCGCTGAGCCACCTGGGCTGCCCCTCATGTCCATTTCTATACCAGTCACTGGCAAGCAGAATAAAGGTTTCACATTTGGTGCAGTAAAGCTTATAGTCATGATAAGGACAAAAGATTATCCAAGAGAAATCAGGGTGCTCATAGAAAGGCAGAAAGAGTGAATGCTTGGGTAGGTAACAATAATGCCTATTATGGGTCATATTAGGGGACAAAGGTAGAACTGACTAGGGTCAGCTTTGAGATAAGATTTGGGCTGATAGCTGAAGGACCAATTACATTTTGGAGGTCTGATTTAGAAGTTAGGTTAATTCCACTTTTAGGAATTTGCCTTCAAGTAAAAATCAGACAATGTCACATTTTACTCAAAGTGAAAGCCAAAGTCCTACATTGGTCTTCAAGATTCTATATCATTTGAGTCCTGTTATGGATCTAATCTCACAGCCTGATCTTGTCTCTCTTGCTCATTCAGCTCCACTCAAAATGTCTTCCCTGTCTTTCCCTGAAAATTCTAGTCACACCCCTTGCCTAATTCACCTCCTCATTTGCTCTGCCTGGAACCCACAACCAACAAGTAGCTACATGGATCCATTCATCACATCCTTCAAGATTTTGCTCAAATGTCACCTTCACGTGGAGCCTTTCCAATCATCGTTCCAGAGTATAATAATCCCAGGGATCTCTGAGAGTGGAGGGAACCAATAACTCCCTATCCCTCTTTCCACTTTTATTATTCTCCATGGCACTTACCACCACCTAACAGACAATATATTTTATGTACTTATTTGTGTATTCATTGTCTTCACTCACTAAGAGAGCCTTTGTGAAGGAATTTTTGTCTACTTTGTTGACCACTGTGTCCTCAGGAGCAAAACAGTTTCTGGCAGAGTAGATGCTCAGTGAATATTTTAACGAACACAGGAGCAAAGATGAATGTACAAAGAAGTTCATTCCTGCATTATTACAATGAAAACTATCCAAATATACACCAAATTTGAAACGCATTATGTAAATCATGGTTCAACCACAGAATAGAGTACTATGCAACCCTCAGGAAGGAGAAGGAAATTATCTAAATATACTAAGAGGAAAAATTGTTCAAGGTATTTTACAGAGGAAAAAAGAAGTTATATCACATAATGCTTAAGTACAGAGTATTTTGTTACAAATACATAATATGATAGAAATCTGTGTATAATATGAGAACTCTGGCTGAATTGGTAACAGTGAGCATTTAGTAGAGTGGGATTAGAGAAAGCACTCTCTTTTTAATTTATATCCCTGTATCAGGGCTGGGAGTGGGTTCAGGTTCAAAGACATCATCAGGATCTAGCCTGGACAAATTTCCACAAGCTGGTCAGAATTAGAATGAGGACAAGAAAATGGCCCCAGAGGAGGCTATTCCCTGAGCTGGGCAGTTCCTTGACTCCTGCTCCAGCCGCCCCCCTCAGAGCCAACACCTGGTCTCTCCTGCAGGAGCCACCCAGGATTTAGGGCCAGAATGGGCGGGGCGAACTAGCTGGGTACCGCCCGACCCTGGCCTGGAGAGGGAGGGTGGAGAAAGAATTGAGTGCGGCCAATTGCTTTAGGGGCCTCGGGGCTTGAGATAAGTGCGAACACAGGATGGGGGCGTCCCAGAGCCGGCTCCGCCTGCACCCCAGGGCCCTGGGGGCGGGCGCGGGGGTGGAGGTGGTATAAGAGGGCCGCCCTGCACAGGGCTGGACACGTTAGTATCCCAACGAGACTGAAGCCGAGATCTCATCAGACCCTCCGGAGGTGAGAAGAGGCCTCATTTCGGGTAGGGGATGAGGCTGGCTGGACAGCTGACTCCTGCTTCTAAGGGGAGGGGGTGCTTAGAATCCTGGTTCTGAGAGATAAGGGGTTGGAGGTCTGGAATTTGGGATCTGTTAGGGAAAAAAAGGAACCGAGGATCTAGACTTGCTGATGAGGAGGGATGGGAACTAGATTCCTGGGTCCCAAGGGGAAGGGAGGTTTGGAGGCTTGGCCTCCTGGGTATGAGTTGGGGAGGAGCTGGGATTTGGGCTCCTTGGGTCTGAAGTAGGAAGGGCTGGGGCCCAGATCCCTGGGTGTGCTGGAGGAATCTGGGGGCTTGGACTCCTGTTTCTCGAACTCTTTGTCCTTCCCAGCTCAGCAGAAGAGACCCTTGCTCTGCCTGGCAGCCCCGGGAGAGGCTCAGAGTGGCCACCATGGCAGGATCCCTTCTCTTGCCCCTGCAGATCCTACTACTGTCCTTAGTCCTGGGATCTGCTGGACAAGAAGGTGAGGGCTGGACTGGGAGATCTGACCTCACCCTGGGGCCTTCCACTGTCTCCACTGACCCTTGCCAGAGCCCCCATTCTCCAAGGACTTCCTGGGTCAGGACCTTCCTCCTGCAGCAGCTTCCTCCCATGGAGGACAAGACTCTTGTACCTCCTGCTCCCTATCTTCCTGCTTCTTTCTGACTCCTGGGGTCTCTGTGCCCTCCGGGCCATCTCCAGCACTCAGTGTTGCTCCTATCAGCTTGCCTCCAGACAAGATGTTCTTCCCCGGTTTATGAGCAGGCTCCCTCCATCTCTCTTCACCTCCATGTCCTGCTTTCTCTGCACTGTTCCCTGTTTCTGCCTCTGCATTTCTCAGTCTCTCTCTCTTTCCATCTTTCCCTCTAAATCCATCGACTTCTTCTTCAGCTCCCTTAATGCTTGTTACCCATGTTTTCCTCTCTGTCTCTCTATCCAGCCCAAGGTGACAAGAGTGGAGAGAAGATTATTGAAGGAGTCCCATGTACAAGAGGCTCCCACCCCTGGCAGGTGGCCCTGCTCAAGGGCACTCAACTCCACTGTGGAGGTGTGCTGCTCAATGAGCAGTGGGTGCTCACTGCCGCCCACTGCATGATGAGGTATGTGGCAGGGACACTGCAGCTCTCTTTCGGGGTCTCTGTCCCCTCTCTCTCTGGTCTCTGTTCCCCCCTCTCTGGGACTCTGTCCCCCTCCCTGGAGTCCCTGTCCTTTCTCCCAATCATAGCGTTTCTCTCTGAGTGTCATGCTCTTCCCCCAGTGAATACAACGTGCACATGGGCAGCGATCAGCTGAGTGATAAGAGAGCCCAGAAGATCCGGGCCACAAGGTCATTCCGCCACCCTGGCTATTCCACTCAGACCCACGTTAATGACCTCATGCTTGTGAAGCTAAGTAAACAAGCCAGGTTATCATCGAGAGTGAAGAAAGTCAACCTTCCCTCTCGCTGTGAACCCCCTGGGACCACATGCACCGTTTCTGGCTGGGGTACCACCACCAGCCCCGATGGTGAGCTGCCTCCAGGACCCAAGAGCCCTGGCTCCCGACTCCTCCCTCAGCCCCTGGAAACCAGGAGTCCGAGAATCAGACCCCATTTCATGACTTGAGAGCCTCCAGCCCCCTCTTCCTTAGGGGTTCAAGGCTTTTCCTCTCTTCATCAGCACTCAGGGGGCCGCAGGCCCAGGCCTCTGACTGACCACCCTTCTCCCCACCAGTGACCTTTCCATCAAAGCTCATGTGCACGGATGTCAAGCTCATCTCCTCCCAGGACTGCAAGAAGGTTTACAAGGACCTTCTGGGAAAATCCATGTTGTGTGCTGGCATCCCCAACTCCAAGACCAACGCCTGCAATGTGAGATTCCACCCATCCCCAACTGAGTACCCCTGTCTTTCCCTCCAACCAGTGTCTGTGCACCTGACCCTGTTGCTGAGCATTGCCTTGTACCCCATCTCACCTCCAAGTCCTGTTCTCCTAAGCTCTCTCTACCCTGTCCTCTGCCTGGGGCAGTAGTGGGAGCCCAGGAGGCAGCACGGCCCTGGCAATGGGGCAGAATGGCAGTGGGAAAGATGGGGTTGGGACAGGCAGAAGGTGAGTAAGGCACTGGCTTCAAGCCCAAACTTCAAGTGGGTGCTAAGATAAATCATATTCTACTAATGCAACATTTTTAAAAATTAAGGCCCATGCAAAAAGTCCATGATGAACAAAGTATCAGAATTTTCAACAAAGAGCCATAAGCCTTACTGAATTCTTCATTTGCCTTGGGCTACAGTAATGGTGCAGCGCAGTGTTCTACTGACGCTGTCTTTATCTAAAGTTGGGATACATGCTCATCATGAACTTTTTCATACTAAATTTTATTTTTTTCAAGCACTACATTAGAATACTATTTATTGCCATTATTGGGACTTTGTGCCTGGAGCTAATGTCCCCTCCACCTTATCCCAGTCCTGATTTTGGGAAGAAACTATCTCTGCCCTTCCTCTTTATTACCCCTTCCCCACCTCTTTAACCTCCTCTCTGTATCTGAATTACATGGTCTTCCTCTCTCTCTCTGTAGGATCTCTCTCTCTCTATTTGCCCCTGTCTCTACCTGTGTCCATCTCTGCTCCTTCCCCACCCTCTGCATTTCTGCTTCTCTGTCCCCTTCTTCCTTCTGCCTTCTTCTCTCCATCCTTCTTTCAGTACCCCCACTCTCTTTGTTCACATCTGCACCTTCAGCTTTCAGGGGAAGTGAGATGGTGTGTGTTAGAGATGGGGTGGGTGGGACAGAGATGTATGTCCTAGAGAATGGGTGGAGGGGGTCCCCTTGTTCCCTAGTGAGGGCTGGCTTCATGAGTATGCAAACTGTGCAACGGCACAGGGCTTCACACAGTCGGGAGAGTCCCACACTTGGTTTAACACACTTCTTTTGCTATCTTGAATCTCTTAATAAGTTTTGAACAGGGAGGCCACATATTTATTTTGCACTAAAGTCTTTGAATTATGTCACTGGTCCTGCCTCTGCTTTCCAGGGCCACTCTGTCCCCCTTTCTTGCTCAAGGGGCATGTACCCATTCTCTGGAGATAACACTCTTTCTTCCTCTGGCATGGTGCAGGTCCTCAAAGGCAGAAAGTAAATGGGGCTCGGACCCCCTGGAAGCTCCAACCCTTCCCAGTGATTGGTCCCACTGGCTGGGGCTCAAGCCAATGCCTTCAGAGAATCAAGTTGTTCTCTCCATGATAGCACTAATTCCTGCTCTCCCATTGGTCCTCAGAGACCATGAGTCTCTTCACATTGACCAGGATTGAAGTCCATGGTTGGACAGAACAAAGATGTGGGAACTGAAAACCGTGGACATGTCAGTGGTGGTTTCTCTGAAACTAAAGCTAATCTGCTCTTTCTTCTCCAGGGTGACTCAGGGGGACCACTGATGTGCAAAGGTGCCCTGCAAGGCCTGGTGTCCTGGGGAACTTTCCCTTGTGGCCAACCCAATGACCCAGGTGTCTATACCCAAGTCTGCAAGTACACCAACTGGATAAAAGAGACCATGAGAAAGCATCGCTAATCTCTGCATACCTCCCATCTTTCCATCCATATACCCTCAACAAGAAATTCACAGAAATAAGGATGTTATGAACTGTAGTCAATTTGACTTTACCTTTTCCTCAAAGACATATTAAAGCCTCGACAATAGGCCACATGTGTAAACCTATCAAGTAAGCAAAGACCTAAAACTGACATGAAACACAAGAGTCTCAGTGCTGGTAGACACAGTGAGACCAGCACTCTCAACCAGTGGAACTGAATCCATCCACTTATCCTCTATTTGGAAGAACTCTCGGCAGTTTGGCAAGGTGGATTGAGATCCTTATTTACTGCTGTTCACTCTGTGATTCTAGTTGAGGAAGATATTACTCACACACACACACACACACACACACACACACAAAATCCAAAGTGTGGAGCAAGGTTTGAATTCATCACATTATTTATCATAGAAAAACAGTGGAAACACTGAACATGTCCCAAATTAGTAGATTGTGTACATAACAATAGGCTTGTTTGGGGACAAGGATATTAGGAAGCTATTAAGGATAATAACCTTGCAGAATTGTTAACGTTATGCAAGAATGTGCTATATGATGGAACATGAAAAAAGAAAGATACAAACATATGTTTGACTCTAGCTGTGTAAAATGAAACATTTGCAGAATAAAGTATGAAAAGCCATGTACTAACTGCATGCGGTGGTAGTCATGGGTACCTCTTTCATTTATATTTCTTTAGATGTGCACTTTTGTAACTTTATAACAAAGGTGGAAAAGCTCTGAAGATCTAAGACTTCAGAGGAGGAACCCTTAAGAGAGGGAGAGACATCTGATTTTGAGCCCTGGCCCTGTCCCCTGCTTAGTGACCTGTTTCTTTCTTTTCTTTTTTTTTTTTTTATGATAGTCATACAGAGAGAGAGAGAGGCAGAGACACAGGCAGAGGGAGAAGCAGGCTCCATGCACCAGGAGCCTGATGTGAGATTCGATCCCGGGTCTCCAGGATCGCGCCCTGGGCCAAAGGCAGGCGCCAAATCGCTGCGCCACCCAGGGATCCCTAGTGACCTGTTTCTATCCATTTCGCAGATTTCAGTTTTCTTTATCTGTAAAATGAGTTGGAGAGAGGAAGAGAAGGTCCAGGGGAATAAGGAAGGATGGAGGGAGGAGAGAATAAGCCTGCTTCACTGGCAGTGAAAAAGGGTGTGAAAGTATTCCTGAGTATTTCAAAGATGGAAAATCAGGAAAGAGGGATGTTTTCAGAAAAGATAGGGCTGGCAGGTAGATAGGACACCAGGGTCCCAGGGGAGCCCACCCAGAGTGAGCAACCAGCATCCTGTGTGCCAGAGGAAGAGGGAGATGGGAATCTGGGTTGGTGGGCTACTATTCTCAAAAAAAGCAGGGACATCTGGAAGGGAGGAGGGAGGAGTCCCTGTGACTCAAAGTCTGGCCATGCCCTTGGCCTTCTGCCATCAAAGACTCCCTGGGCAGTCACACCTCAGACGCTGCTGACAGAGGGTTCCTCTCCAGCCCAGGGCTCAACCTCCTGCCTGTCTTTCCAGTTTCTCCCCTAGAATTCTCAGCTAATGTCCTCCAGATCCTTCCTCTCCCCATATCATCTCCCTAGCAAGTCTCTCCTAGCCGCTGCCCCCCCTTACACCTCCACCCTTCCCCATATTGCAAAAATCATGCAGCCATCAACTTCCTGCTCACAGGAGGCTAAGCCTCTTCCTAGTACAAAACACAGAGGTCTAGACCCCCAGCTCCTCCTCCCTCAGACCTAAGCCACCCCTGCCTCCAGCACCTCCCCTCTCAGACTCAGATGTCCAGACCCCTGGCCCTCGTGCCTCTGGATCAGTGTCAAGCTTCAGGTATGTTAAGGGTTTTTGGCCACCCATCTCCATGAAAATCCAATCTTCCCCCTCAATTTTCAATCTAAAGTTTGAAAAAGGAATGAAACATTGCAGTTGTACTAAGTCAGACTGGAGATACCTGGCCCTGCCTCTTGGCAGTTCCTGTATAAAGTCTGGAGGTGGGTTTGTTTGCAATGACTTGAGATAGTACTCTCTTTTTTTTTTAAGACTTATTTATTTATTTGAGGGAGGAGAAGGGGCAGAGGGAGAGGAGAGAGAATCTCAGGCAAACTCCCCACTGAGCACAGAGGCTGATGATCCTGAGATCATGACCTGAGCCCAAACCAAAAGTCAGATGCTTAGCCAACTGAGCCATCCAGGCGCCCTGAGATAGCACTTTTGTTGGATTTTTAAAAATAACTTCCTTTCTCTTTGGGCAGACAGCACAACATAGTATCAAAGGCACTTATTTTTAGATTTCTGCCCCAGTTCAGGTGCTTGTAAGCTATTTGCACATTACTTCCCCATCTCCCTTCCTCCATCCTTGAAGTGAGAGAAATAACAACTACTTCCCAAGTCTGTTATGAGGATTAAATAAATTTAATACTCAGAAAGTGCTAGAACATTGCCTGACACAGGATAAGCCTTCAGTGAGCGTATGTTTTTATTGTCTGTGATTTCCGGTACTTTTGCCCACTTACACTCTCACAAAATGTTTTCTTTTTATTAAGATTTTATTTATTTATTTGAGAGAGAGATTATGAACAGGAGGAGGGGCAGAAGGAGAGGGAGAAGCAGACTCCAGACTCCTCTCACTGAGCAGGGAGCCTGACACAGGGCTTGACCCTAAGACCCCAAAAGCATGACCTGAGCTGAAAGCAGACACTACTGATTGAGCCACCCAGGCACCCCTCACAAAGTTTTCTTTTTTAAAGATTTTATTTATTATTTATTTATTTATTTTAAAGATTTTATTCATTTATTCATGAGAGAGACACACAGAGAGAGGCAGAGACACAGGCAGAGAAGCAGGCTCCATGCAAGGAGCCTGATGTGGGACTTGAACCAGGGAATCTGGGATCACGCCCTGAGCCAAAGGCAGGTGCTCAACTGCTGAGCCACCCAGGCATCCCTAAAGATTTTATTTATTTATTTATGCATTTATTTATTTATGAGAGACACAGAGAGGCAGAGAGAGAAGCAGGCTCCCTGCAGGGACCCCTATGTGGGACTCAATCCCAGGATCCTGGGATCATTCCCTGAGCTGAACACAGATGCTCAACCACTGAGCAACCAGGCGTCCCTCACAAAGTTTTCTTATAATACATTTTCTTTATTGAAGACTTTTGTGGAACATGTCAATTTTGGGGAAAATATTCCAGAAATAATAATGTGTGGCACATAGGAGGGCAAAACCTTAAAGGTCCCTGGCAAATATCTGCAGATGGGGACTTCATTCTCTCTCTTAGAGGTTCTTAGAGGTGGAGTTCTCCACCACCTATCACATCCTTCTTTTCCTACCAGGTTCTCAACTCCTCCCAAACTCTCCAATCACCTGTTGTGCTAAGGGACATCTGGTGGGAGCACCAAAAGATGGGCCATGTCCACCTCCATGTTGGAAGCTGACTTCCAATCCAAAAGGTCCCACCATTTCCTGGGTGTTGGATGTTGAGCAATTAACTTCCTTCTCTGAGTCTCAGTTTTCTTTTTCGTAAAATGGGAGTGGGTGTAATGAAGACATTTAGTCATTTGGTCAACATTTCCTAAGGCTTCCTCTGGGTTAGGTCCCGTGAGGGCACACAGGGGTGAGTCAGCTTCAGTGCCTGCCCTCAAGGAGCTCACAGTTCAGTGGCCAAGACAGATGTGGATCTAAATGTTCACGATCCAGGGTGACTTCAGGGATGCACCTGCTCTGGGAAACTAGATGAGAGAGTGACTAACCCAACTGCAGGGGGTAAAAAGTTGGATGGTGTTCAAGGGAAGGCTTCCAGAAGGAGACAATGTCTAAGCAAAGACTCGAAGGACACGTTGTGGTCAGGAGAAGGTGAGAAGAGCATTTGAATAGGGGGAATAGCATGGATGAGGCTTAGAGGTGAGAGAGAGCAATCTTCACGGCTGGAGCACAAGACCCATGGGCAGAGCGGGGCATGCAATGTGGTAGCCACTCACCATGGTGGCTCCTGATTTGTGAAATGTGGCAAGTTCCAAGTGAGATGTGCTGTAAGTGGAAGACACATCGGGCTCTAAACACTATGCAAAAAATAAGAAGACAAACTATCTTTAAAATGTTCTTATCTTAGGGCGCCTGGGTGACTCAGGTGATGAGTCCAGAGTCCTGGGATCGAGCCCTGCATCAGGCTCCCTGCTCCATGGGGAGCCTGCTTCTCCCTCTCCCTCTGCAGTTCTAACTGCTCGTGTTTTTCTCTCTTTCAGATTAATAAATAAAATCTTTAAATAATAATAATAATTTAAAAGTAAATGAAATGTTCTTATTTTAATTTCACATTGCAATTTTGGATATATTGGGCTACATGAAATACTAAAATGAACTCCTAACTCTTTTTGCTATTTTTATTATTTTTAAAAGATTTTATTTATTTATTCATGAGAGGCACACACAGAGAGAAAGAGAGGCAGAGACACAGGCAGAGGGAGAAGCAGGTTCCCGAGGCAGACTCTATCCCAGGACCCCAAGATCACGACCTGAGCCGAAGGCAGATGCTCAACCACTGAGGCACCCAAGTGCCCCTATTATTATTATTTTTAAGTAGGCTCCATACCCAGCATGGAGGCTCAACATGGAGCTTGAACTCACAACCCTGAGATCAAGACCTGAGCTGAGATCACAAGTCAGATGCTTGACTGACTGAGCCACCCGGGCATCCCATCTTTTTATTATTTAAAAAAAATTGTAGGGATCCCTGGGTGGCGCAGCGGTTTGGGACCTGCCTTTGGCCCGGGGCGCGATCCTGGAGACCCGGGATCGAATCCCACGTCGGGCTCCCGGTGCATGGAGCCTGCTTCTCCCTCTGCCTATGTCTCTGCCTCTCTCTCTCTCTCTCTGTGGGTGTGACTATCATGAATAAATAAAAAAAAAATTTAAAAAAATTGTGGCTACTAGAAATTTAACAGTGCATGTGTACTTGGCAATATATTTCTTTTGACCAGTGATGCTGCGGATGCTGAAGGTCTTCCAACAGCTGGCTGAGGGGCTGGGACTTTGTCTCAGGGGTGAGAGGGTAGCCAGGGCAGGGCTATGAGCAAGAGAAAAGCAGCTCCAGGTGCGGGAAGACCCCTCTGAGGTCAGGTGAGGGCTACAGAGGAGGGAGAAGAGCCCAGGATGATGGTCATGTGGGAGAGGAGTGGGTCTGAGTTGCGTTTAGGGTCATGGGGACAGAGAGGAGGGGACCTACAGAGAAAGGAGGTCATGGGCCGGGCTGCAAGAGACCCAGCCTGGTGTCTGGGAAGATGGTGAGTTCTGAGAAGGTGCCTAGTTCAGTAGGGCAGTGAGTGTGAAGGGCCTGGGGGAGTTGGGGGCAGGGCAGCAGCCCAAGAGCATGTGGAATGCCAAATACTGATTTGCATCCCCCAGTGTCAGGCCAGAGCTGGTGCTGAGGTGGACATTACCAATATCAATTGTCCTTCTGTCCAGTGACTTCCTTGCATTTTCCTCATGCCCCACAACCATCACATCCATCCTCATCTCCCTCCACACACCTGGCCACCATACACCAGACCTTCTTGCCCTGCTTCTCCTGATTGACACCCAACACTGGGCCCAACTTTATAGCACCTCCTCAAATCCCCCTGGGTCCCTCCAGAGCTGCTGGAGCCCCCATTTCACACTTCCAAATCACTCTCAAGTTTTCTTGCATTCCTGCTTATTTCCAAGTCTCTCCCTACATGCTGAATCTCATCAGAAACCCATCCATGTCCCACTGGCTTCCCCACTGCTCCCCCACATCAGCCTCCCCAGCTCCCCAGGGAGCTAATTCGCTTCTGAGCAGAGGCACACTCCTCTCCTGAAAATGAAGGGGAGGCCAGGGGAGGATAAGCAGACCAAAATGTAGAGAATGTCCACAGAGACTCAGAGATTTGGGAGAAAGACAGAGAGAGAGATACAGAGAAAAAGATAGGGAAAGAGACAGAGGGACAGAGACACAAGTAGAGCCTGAGAAGAACACAAGAAAACACGAGAAAGAGAGAGAGAGAGAGAGAGAGAGAGAGAGAGGAGTGGAGACACCCCCACCACGGCCAGGAAGACAGGTGGACAGCGAGACCGCAGAGGTGGGCAGGCTTGGAGCAGGGGAACCAGGAAGGTCAAACGTCCTGATATCCGGGCAGATGTGGATGGGCCATCAAAGGACAGCAGCAGGACTGTCAGACAGGGACAAAGGAAAGCTATTGACGCAGGCGCCCGCCTGCCCGGAAGAGAGGTTGAGAAATGGAGCTGCTGGGAGCATGGCACTGAGTGCTGGGGGCGGACAAAGCCCGATTGTTTGAGGCCCCTTTCCCCACAGCGCCCCAGCCCAGGGCAGGGGCGGGTGCCAGCTGGGTGACACATGCTTTCTCACTGGCTGCTGTCTACAGTGGGGACACGGAGGTCGTCAGCGCCCACAGAGGGACTTACGGGCAGGTGCGTGAATCACCCCAACTCCACTGACCCAAGCGGCCGGGTTCTTAGTGCCTGCAGGCAGCAGACCCAGGAGTGAGGGTCTGCAGGGCTAGAGTGGTCACAGACAGAGGTGGGGGGATTCCTGCAGGCCGGGGGAACTATTTACTCGCCTGGGTGTTGGCTTTTGGGTTCTCAGACACCTTCTTGCTCAAGGACCTAGAGAAGCCTACTGACTGAGAACTAGCACCCATCTTTCCTCATTTAGCCTCGAAAGTGCAGATGCCCAGGCCCTTTTGCTGAAGGTCTAGAATTTTAGGCCCTCTCCCCTCCTGCCTCAGACCCTGGAGTCCAGGCCCCCTAGCCCCCTCCTCCCTCAGACTTTGGAGTCCAGGCCCCCAATGCTCTCAGGGCCTGGTGCTCACCTCCTGGGAAGCCCGGTCAGGGGTCATCAGGAGCAAAGCCACGGGGACATGGGGATGCAAGGAATGTGTGTGGGAGGTCTGGGTGAGGAGGAAAGGGTGGGGCAGCCTCCTGCCTCAGGAACCTGGGGAGACAGGGGTTAAAAGGAAGCACCAGGAGTGTCTGGGGGCAGGAACAGCCTCTTCCAAGGAGGCCAGGAAGCCCAGGTGTCGGTCTGGCCTGGGCCCCACAGCCCATACATCCTCTGCTGTCTGTGTCTCTGGCTCTGGCTCCTGGGCATCCTCTCTGCTGGGTCCCGTCTCTCCCCATAACTCCCTGCATTTCTGACTTTGTGCTTCTCTGTCAGTCTGCCTGTGACACGTGCTGTGCCTGCCTCAACCCAAGAACCCCTCGTCCAGGAGTCCTCTGGGCCCCCAGGCAGCCAGCTCCCAGCAGGTAAGATCACACTGCACCCTAGAACCTCCAGGTATGAGGTGAGCGACAGTGAGCTCAGAGCCAAGGTGCAGAAGAAAAACCCCATGGGTAGGGAAGAAGCTCAGAGCCCCTCCTGGGCCACCCCCTCCTGCTGGCAGGCAGGCACACTAGAGCCCAGAGAAATAAGAGACTTATTGAGAATTGCACTGTGAGCTGCAGACCACCACATGTGGTTTTGGGTTCTTACTCAACCTGCCTTAATGGGACCTGAGGATGGAAGATAAGGTTAGAGTGACAAGAGGCCAGGGGAGAGATAGAGGTTAGGGGTCAGGAGATCATGGAGGCTGGGGAAGGAGGGGTGAAGGAGGGGCCTTGAGGGGGTCTGAGACAGGGACTGAGGAGCATTTGGTTTCCCTTCTCAGGAATGGGCATGAAGACGCTAATTCTGGCAGTGATCCTGATGGCTGCAGGTGGGAAGAAAGAGGATGGGATTGGGTGGTTTGGGGGGGCGCTGCTGGTGGGAGAGTTTGGAATTGGGATTCACACACGTATGGAGGCAGGGGGTGCTTGGAGTGAGGCAAAAGTGAGGGGCTAGGTTAGCGATGGGGGTGCAGACAGGAAGGAGGTAGAAGTTGGTCTGGAAGGTGGGGAAGAATTTGAGGGTGGGGGTGGGATGGAGATGACTTGGACCACTGGGACAGCATTGGGGCCCACTGTGGGGGATCCTCCTGGTGTCTCCAGAGCTCGTCCCTGACTCAGACCCTTCCTTTCTCAGCCTGGGCAGAGGAGCAGAATAAGGTGCTGCATGGTGGACCCTGTGAGCAGACGTCTCACCCCTACCAAGCTGCCCTCTACACGTCAGGCCACTTGCTCTGTGGAGGGGTCCTCATTCACCCGCTGTGGGTCCTCACCGCTGCCCATTGCAAAAAACCGTGAGTCTCCATGCCACATGAGTGAGGAGTGGTTGCAATGAGACCCCTGGGGGGCGTCTTGCAGATTTCAGGCAGGAAGTGATACATACAACCCCCTGTCCCAGCACAAGGCCATCTGATAACCAGGTTCATCTGGGCAGTACTTAAATGAGCACTAAATAAGTGTCAGGCACTGTCTGGGGCCCGGAGGGTATAGCGGTGAAGAAAAGCAAAACTGCTGCTTTTATGAACTAACCTTCTAACTGGGGAATCAGATGGTGCAGGGCCTGCAGGCAGCGATGCAGCAATGGATCTCATTCTAAGTGAAGGAGGAAGACACTGGAGAATTTCAGTCAGGGAAGCAGCAGATCTGATTTACATTTTTTTTTATTTTTATTTTATGATAGTCACACAGAGAGAGAGAGAGGCAGAGACACAGGCAGAGGGAGAAGCAGGCTCCATGCACCAGGAGCCCGACGTGGGATTCGATCCCGGGTCTCCAGGATCGTGCCCTGGGCCAAAGGCAGGCGCCAAACCGCTGCGCCACCCAGGGATCCCTGATTTACATTTTTAAGAGCACCCTGGCCTCCATGTGGAAAGTGGGCTGGGCAAGGGGGAATGAATGACCTAGAATGATGGGATGATGGCTTGGACCAGGGGGTGGAGGATAGTTGAAAACTTTTGGAGGTATTTTGAGACCAGCAGGACTTGGTGGTATGGGATGGAAGAGGCAGGGCTGACCTGCAGGTATAGGACTCGAACAAGTGGATGTTCTGTTGTGTCTCTCTGAGATGGTGGGAGAGGGAAATAAAACCAGTTTGGATATGGGCAGAGGAGTGTCAGACATTTTGCTCTAGCCAAGGTGAGCCTGAGATACCAGGGAGGTATCCAAGAAGCATGAGGGTAGGCTGCTGGTGCTCAGGAGAGAAGTCAGACCTGGAGGTAAACATGAAGGGATCATCCACAAATCCTGTGTATTTAAACACAGGACGGGATGAGATCATCCAAAAAGTGGGCATAGGTAGAAAAGCATAGAGGGACCAGGACAAATCCTCAGGGCACTAATGATTACTAGTTCAATTAACAGTTGCCATTTTGTTCAACACTAACTACCAGCCAGGTGCTGAGTTAAGCAGTTTATATATGTTTCCTGGAAACTCCACAATGAGAGACTCCTTGCCCCATTTTGCAGATGAGGACATTGAGGCTCAGAGAAGTAGTAAGTGGCAACTCAAGTGTTTGGAAACTAACAGGTGCCACTCCCTACTGTGGGGGGAGGAGAGGGGTCTAATCACGCAAGGTTATGGACTCAACAAGTACCCTCAGGATGGTCTTCCCCACCCTCAGGGAGACCCGGCATTGCTCCCACCGTTCTAATTCATCCATTGGCGCACATTGATCAAAGCACCTGCTAAGTGCCAGATTTGAGCTGGGCAGTGGGGATTCAGCAGTGGATGAGAGAAATGCAAAGTCTATGCCCTTAGGAACACAGAAGCAGAAAGGCACAGAATGATAGTTATTTAACTAACAAGCCCTTGGAAAATCATGTAATTACAAATTACCCTAAGTCCAGTGAAGGAAAAGAAGAGGGATGGCTCCCTGAGAGAAAAGAACAGAGAAGTACCTACTTTAGATGGAAGAGGGTATCAGGAAAGACCTTCTGATGAGATGAAGTTCAAGCTGAGGCTTTGAAAATGAGAAAGAGTAGACAAATGAAGAAGGGGGACGAGCGTTGAGGGCAGAAGAAATGCAAGGACAAAGTCCCTGAGTTTGAAATAGTCTGGAGTGTTCTAAGAAAGTTACAGTGGGACAGAAGATGGTGGAATGAGTTTCATTCAAAAGTAATGGGGAGCCAAGGGAGAATTTTGAGCGAGGCAGTGACTCTTTTGATCCATTTCACAAATATTTGTTGGATATCTATCATAAATACGATAGACACAGGTATAGGCAGTGAGGACACTGTATCTGAACAAAACAAAATTCCCATCTTGATATTCTAGAGCTGTACCACCCATGTGGTAGCCACAAATGGCCAATTAAATTCACAATAAGAAAAATGCAATGAGGGATCCCTGGGTGGCGCAGCGATTTGGCGCCTGCCTTTGGCCCAGGGCGTGATCCTGGAGACCCGGGATCGAATCCCACGTCGGGCTCCTGGTGCATGGAGCCTGCTTCTCCCTCTGCCTATGTCTCTGCCTCTCTCTCTCTATGTGTGACTATCATAAAAAATAAAATAAATAAAAATAAATAAAAGAAAAATGCATTGAGATGACAAATCCAGGAGCACGTGTCAAGTGCTCAGTAGAGGCCTATGTCTAGTGGCCACCATATCAAACTGCAGCATGACTGAAGAAGTTCTATTGGACAGTGCTGCTATGGTAGGAGGAGAGACAAAAAAGTAAATATTTAACAATACATATATAGTATATCAGATGGTGATGGTAGGTTCTGGGTGGCAAAGAAAGCAGGAAAGAGAGATAGGACTTGCCTGTCAGGGTAGCTATTTGCATTTTAATTGGATCATCAAGGAAGGCCAGACTGAGAAGGTGACATCTGAAGGAGGTGAGGGAGGAAGCCATGCGGATATGTAGGGGAAAGAGTTGCTGGCAGCAGGAACAACCAGTGCAAAGGCAGTGGGGTGAGAAGATGACTGCTGTGTTCAAAGAAAGGCAGGGAAGCCAGTGTGGCTGGAGCAGAAGGAGAGAGGGAGAGAGTGGGAGGAGGTGATATTTGAGAAGTGATGGGGGCAGAATATGCAGGACTTTGTGGGCCAGGGTGAAAACTTCAGCCTTTACTCTGAATGAGATGGGAGTCATGGGAGGATTCTGAGCAGAGAAGGGACAAGAGGAGGTGAGATATATTATGTTGTTAAAATTTCTCTGGCTGTTTTGTGGAGGGGCAAACACAGAAACAAGGAGTCAAGTGGGATAGCTACTGCCATTGTTCCAGTAAGAGATGATGGCGGTGGGGGAGGCGAGAAACGGTCATATCCTGGATATACTTTGGAGAGCTAAAAGGATTTCTGGGCTGCTTGGATGTGAGGCATGAAATAAAGAGAGTCAACAATAGTCTCCAAGGTTATTCTGAAAGGATGAAACTGTCCTTTTCTGAGCTGGGAAGATTGTGAGGGGGACAGGCCAGATGGTTCGTGGTGCACCAGGCCACCGCCATCTCCCATCACAGCCCCTTCTGAAGTCTTGGCTGCAGCCATGGACTCCAGGTAAGACCGAGCCCTCCTCTTTCCCAGGAATCTTCAAGTCTACCTAGGGAAGCACAACCTTCAGCAAAGGGAGAGTTTCCAGGAGCAGAGCTCTGTTGTCCGGGCTGTGGCCCACCCTGGCTACAATGCTGCCACTCACGACCAGGACATCATGCTGTTGCGCCTGGCTCGACCTGCCAAATTCTCTGAACGCATCCAGCCTCTCTCCCTGGAGCAAGACTGCTCAGCCAACCACTCGAGCTGCCACATTCTAGGATGGGGCAAGACAGCAGATGGTCAGTAGTGGCAGGGTGACAAGGAAGCAGGCCAATGGGTGATAGGCTATGCAGGAGGTGGGCTAATGGTGAGGACCAATGGGGCAGTGTGTCAATGGGGAGGGGAGGCAAGTATGGGAGTTGTGTGAATGAGTGAACAGCCAGTGGAGAAAATAAACCCATGAGTGAATGGTATGGAGAGAGAGGCTGTGAGATGAAGGATTGATGAAGGGGAGGGCCAGTAGGGAGATTCTAATCCAGAAGGAGGCCAATGATCGAAAGGGACCGATCGGGATGCAAAAATGATCAAGAAGAGATAGTGGAGGAGGGACTAATGGAAGAAGAGAGATCAATAAAGCAGGACAGCCCCCTGAAAGGTATGAAATGAAAGTGCAATTGGGAGAAGAGAGTGATAATGGAGAGGAACCAACTAAGGGAAGGGTCAGTGGTCAAGGGGAGGTACTAAAGGAAGGACGGGGGGAGGAACAAGTCCCATAGGTCACCAGGAACCGTGGAAGGTAATTGGGCCGGTGAGTGAAGGGCCAAAAAAGGAAGGTGGGCCATTGAATGAATGGCCAATAGGAAGAGAGAACCTAGGGGGGAGGGCGGTTCATTTAGGAAAGGACCAATGTGGGGGGTGCACGTCTGGCTTAAGGGCCAGTAAGAAGGGAGAGCCAATGAAGGGGAAAAGGGACCAGTTAGGGGAGGACCAATGGTCGTGTGTTAGCCAATCAGGATGAGCCAGTGGGAAAGAAGGGTCCAACCATGGATGAAAGGGTGGAGGAGGGACTAACAGAAGAGAGTCTAGAGGTGAGCTGGAAGTACTGAAGAAGGTGAGACCAGTGAAAGAAACAAGTAGAGGCAGGTCCTAAGAAAAAGAGAAAAGCAGTAAGAAATGAGGACTAGTGGAGATGGGGCAATTAATGAGGAAGACAGGCCAATGGGAGGAAAGAATGATGTAAAGAGGGACCAATTGGGAGCCAGGGCCAATGGAAATGGGTTTTTATGAATGAAAGACAAATAGGAAGAAGGAAACCAATGGGATATAGGGACCAATAGGGGAGAGAGCTCACTGGGGAGGACATGCGGAGGACAGGCTGTGAAGTAAGCCTGGCTCATCTCTCTCTGCAGGTGATTTCCCTAACACCATCCAGTGTGCATACATCCACCTGGTGCCCCGTGAGGAGTGTGAGCGTGCCTACCCTAGCCAGATCACCCAGAACATGGTGTGTGCGGGAGATGAGAAGTACGGGAAGGACTCCTGCCAGGTGAGGTCACCGGGACCTTCCAGTTACAGAGCCGACAGAGACAGACCGAAATAGAGTTTTACGGAGACATGCTGGGAGAGGATTCCAGGGAGAGAGTCTCATTGGGACACTCAGAGACACAGCCAGGAACAGGCAGAGGTATAAAGGCAGCCAGCAGAGACAGGAAACACAGAGACAAGGATGGAGATAGAGATCAAGAACCAGAGAGACGCAGTAAGGAAGCAAGTGGTGTGAGGGGTCTGTCCCTCCTCAAACAGAGGACTGTCCTGTTTGGACATGGCCAAGCTCTGGAGGCCGGTGGATCGCAGCTGGGGAGAGACAGGGCTCCGTCCCCACTCCCAAATGCTTCCTGTAACTTGAAGTTTTTGTTGTTGTTGTTCCCCATCATCCACTGGGTCTCTCCTATTTATGCCAAAATTTACTCCAGGGCTTTGAGGTCTCTGAAGAGACAGAGCTAGGGACAGTGATACACAGCAAGTCAGACATGACAAAAAGGCTAGCAGACAAACCCCAATACCTAAGCTGTCTTTTCTCTCCCCAGTTTTGTTGAGATGCAGTCAGCATACATACATCGGTGTAGAAGTTTCAGGTGTACAATGTGATGTTCCATGTCCTGTGGAATGATTGCCATGGTCAGTTAGCACCCATCATGCAGAGCAAAGCAAAGCAAAACAAAACAAAGCAAAGGTGCTTCTGGATGGCTCAGTTGTTTAAGCATCTGCCTTTGGCTCAGGTCACGATTCCAGGGTCCTGGGATTGGGTCCCATGTCGGGTTCTCTACTCAGTGGGGAGCCTGCTTCTCCTCCCTCTGCTGCTAGCTCTACTTTTGTGCATGCTCTCTCACTCTCTCTTAAATAAATAAATAAATAAATAAATACATACATACATACATACATACATACCTAAATAAATACATAAATAAATAAATAAAATCTTAAAAGAAACAGAAAAGAAAGATTTTTGTCCTTTGCGATAAGAGCCCTTAGGATATCCTTTTTTATCTATGTCTCTGCCTTTATTTATTTTTTAAATAAAATCTTTTTTTTAAAGTATTTTATTTATTTATTCGTGAGAGGCAGAGAGAGAGAGAGGCAGAGATACAGGCAGAGGGAGAGGCAGGCTCCATACAGGGAGCCGGATGCGGAGCTTGATCTCAGGACCCCAGAATCCCGACCTGAGCCAAAGGCAGGCGCTAAACCACTGAGTCACCCAGGGATCCCCAAGCTCTTAGGATATCCTATCTTAACAACACTCCTAGTTATCCCACAGCAGTGTTGACTGTAGGCACCACGCTGTGCATTAAGTCCCTGGTATTCACTTATCTTGTACCTGGAAGTTCTTCCTCTTTTTAGGTCTCTTTTTCTCTCCTTCTGTCTCTTTACATGTACATTTACACATATAAAATAACTCTTATATGAATAGATTTATATAAATATAATAGAAATGTAAAACTGTGCATGCTATATATTTTATGTATATATATATATAATATATATATTTCTCTCTTTCTCTCTTTCCGCCTCACTCTGCGCCTCTGCTTCTCTCCACACTTCTCAGTCTCTGTTATTTTTTTTTAAAAGATTTTACTAATTAGACAGAGAGAGAGAGAGCAAGTGAGAGAGCACAAGCAGGGGGAGCGGTAGAGGGAGAGGGAAGAGCAGACTTCTGGATAAGCAGGGAGCCCAAGAGCTCTCAGTTCTTGTACTTAGCCTTTATTCTTTCTATTTTCTTCTCTTGATGCCTCTCTGGGTCACAGTGTTCTCTCTGTTTTTCCCTGTTTCTGAGTTTTCCTCAGACTGTCTCTATTTTCCTGTTTGTGACTTTGTGTGTCTGTCTGTCCCTAAGTCTATCCATCTCTGAGTGTCTCTCCTTCTCCCTCTCTACATGTCTCTGTGACCTTCTGTCTCCCTGTCTTTCTTGCTTTCTTTTTTAAAATATGCTATTTTTAAGTAATTTCTACACTCAACATGGGTCTCAAACTCACAAACCCAAAGTCAAGAGTCACATACTCCACCTCTGAGCTAGCCAGGCGGCCCTGTCACTCACTCACTCTCTCTGTCTCTCTCTCTGTGTGTGTGTGTGTGTGTTTCTTTATCTGATTCTCTCCCACTTTCCCACAGGGGGATTCTGGGGGCCCACTCGTGTGTGGAGACCGTCTCCGAGGCCTTGTGTCATGGGGTAATGTTCCCTGTGGATCCAAGGAGAAGCCAGGAGTCTACACTGATGTCTGCAGATATGGCCACTGGATCAGAAAAACCATTCAGGCCAACTAACCCTGACATGTGACATCCAACTCTTGACCTGTGGCCCCCACTTGCTGGCTCCAGAATATACCTGATCAAGACTTTGCCTTCCCTCCACCTGCCCAGATCCAACCCTTAATGCTTAATAAAAGCAGTGACATGATAGTACAAATTCACCCTAATTATACCCCAGCCCCATTCTTGCATCACTGGGGACGAGTGGGGACATGGGCTAAGGTCTTACCCCCACCACTAAGAGAATACAGGAAAACCCCTTCCAAGCGTCTCTCCCACTTTGGTTATTCCATGGGCTCTACTTCTTCCTACAGAGGAGTGGTCACAAGTCTGGCAAAACCTGAGTTGGAATCCCAACTCTGTCTCTTGCTGGCCCTGTGTACCCTGGGCAAGTACCTCCCTTGGCTGTGTAGATTCTTTAATCTATAAATTAAGGATAACAATAGTATATTCCTCATAGGGCGGTAATTGTTATTGGGAGGATTCAATATTTCCAACATGTGAAACACATACAACAGTGCCTGGCACACTTGAGTAATAAAGTGTGGATTTTTATTATTAGCATTGTTTTTTGCTTTTATCCCACTTCTGCCTCTCCAAATTCCAGATATTCTGGAGTTCTCTTTTACAGCTCAATTTCATTTTTTCTTCCCTCCAGGAAGACAACAGTGTCTGTGTACAGTGTCCTGTACTGGCCTTCATGGTGGCTCTCTCCCCTTAACTCCTTCTGTAGCAGTGAAAGAAGTGGAGGGAGAGGACTGGGAGACCACACTGTGTATGGGTAGAGGGTGGGATAGAAGATGGGAGAGCAGAGCACGGGCCAGATCCCAAAGGACCTCAGACTCCAGGTTGAAATGATAAGACTTTTTCCTTAGGGCAGTGGGGAGCCGTGGAAGGCTTGTGAGCAAGAGCAGCACTGGGACCTTGTATGGGATGGACCAGAGGGGAGATACCAGAAGTCAGGGAGGAGGCAGAAGTGACAGTGCAGGGAGAGAAGAGGGCTGAGCTGGGGCTGGGTGGTCTGGAGAAGGAGGCTGCATATGAGATCACTGTATGGAGAGGGTTGGGTGGATGGCGTTCTCATAGAGGGAATGACCTGTAGAAAGTCCTGGTGGTGTGAGAACACCTGGCATGCCCCAGAGATGGAGAATCATCTAGGATGGTGGAGCACGGATTTGAGGTGGGAGAAGTGGGTGGCATGGCTGGAACTGTAGGTCAGTGGAAGATGGTGCTTTGAGTGCCAGAAAAAACACTTGACCTCAATCCTGAGGGCCTTGAGAAAACAACAGGGTCAGATCTTGCTGCAGTCCATTTCAGGGCACAGCAATGAACAGGGGGGAGGAGAGACTGGAGTTCCCCCAGAGAAGTGAGGGGAGCACACAGGCCCAGCTGGACAAGGTCTCAGGCTTCTGCATGCTTTCTGGGCTCTCCCACCAATGGGCATCACGCACGACCCCTAACTGATATACACCCTCTATCCCCACGTGCCAGGCCTGTCTCTGTCTCCAGAGAACCATTCTTTTCTTACAACCTCCTCCTCATCATCTGTGAAGAAGGCAAATAACTGCTAAGCCAGGTGTCCTCCATGTTAGGGGCTCTCAGAGAGAGGGTGAGGGAAAGGAAGTCCTATATGAGGGCTGGATTTGGGAGCAGAGAAATATTTAGGAACAGAGAGAGAATCAGAGACAACAATTCATTTGTTTCGATACTTATTGCAACCTTATTTTTGCCCAGCACAGTGTAGAATGAATCAGATATTAAACAGAGCAACCGGATCATAGGAGATATTCAAAGTCAATTGTGTGTTATTCTACAATGGGAGTGTTATGTGGTCTGAAGACAGAGGAAGTATTTTATTTTTTTAAAGATTTTATTTATTTATTTGAGAGAGAGAACAAGTGAGAGAAAGCAAGAGCAGGGGGAGAAGATAGGGAAGAGGAAGAAGCAGACTCCCCACTGAGCAGGGAACCCTGCAAAAGTCTGATGAGGGGCTCCATGCAATGCGGGGCTCCATCCCAGGACCTCAAGATCATGACCTGAGTCAATGGCAGATGCTTAACTGACTGAGCCACTCAGGCACCCCAGAGGGAGTATTTTAAAAGAACCAAGTTCTTGGGACTTCATCAAGATAAAAAGCTTCTGCACAGCAAAAGAAAAAAAAATTTTTTTTTTTGCAAATGACATATCAGATAAAGGGCTAGTATCCAAGATCTATAAAGAACTTCTTAAACTCAACAGCAAAGAAACGAACAATCCAATCATGAAATGGGCAAAAGACATGAACAGAAATTTCACCAAAGGAGACATAGACATGGCCAACAAGCACATGAGAAATTGCTCCGCATCACTTGCCATCAGGGAAAAACAAATCAAAACCACAATGAGATACCACCTCACACCAGTGAGAATGGTGAACATTAACAAGACAGGAAACAACAAATGTTGGAGAAGATGTGGAGAAAGGGGAACCCTCTTGCATTCTTGGTGGGAATGTGAACTGGTGCAGCCACTCTGGAAAACTGTCTGGGGGTTCCTCAAAGAGTTAAAAATAGATCTGCCCTATGACCCAGCAATTGCACTGTTGGGGATTTACCCCAGGTGCAGTGAAATGCCGGGACACCTACACCCCGATGTTTATAGCAGCAATGTCCACAATAGCCAAACTGTGGAAGGAGCCTCGGTGTCCATCGAAAAATGAATGGATAAAGAAGCTGTGGTATATGTATACAATGGAATATTCCTCAGCCATTAGAAATTACAAATACCCACCATTTACTTCAATGTGGATGGAACTGGAAGGTATTATGCTGAGTGAAAAAAGTCAATCGGAGAAGGACAAACATTATATGGTCTCATTCATTTGGGGAATATAAAAAATAGTGAAAGGGAATAAAGGGGAAAGGAAAGAAAATGAGTGGGAAATATCAGAGAGGGAGACAGGACATGAGAGATTCCTAACTCTGGGAAACAAACAAGGGGTAGTGGAAGGGGAGGTGGGCGGGGGGTTGGGGTGACTGGGTGATGGGTACTGAGGGGGGCACTTGGTGGGATGAGCGCTGGGTGTTTTGCTATATGTTGGCAAATTGAACTCCAATAAAAAAAATAATTAAAAAAAAAAGAACCAACTTCCTCCATTGCAAAGGTCTTCAGATTTGGACAAAACACACATGTCTTAAGAACCAAAACAAGGTGAAAGTTGATCAAATCACGTGATGGCAGGGAGTGGCTGATTTTTATGTGTATGTGGAAATATTAAGTCACGTGAATAGCCTGGGTCCACCTTGACCAGCCTCTTCAAAGTTGTGGATGATTAATAGGGCCATGAAATGTACCAGAGTCACCCGGAGGAACCAGTCAATGAATGTCCAGAGCAAAATCAACTTGAGTTAATTAAGAGAGCATTATCTTCTTTAATGGATACTATGAATAACAAACACTTAACTTAGTGTATGCCAGGTGCTGGTCTAAGGGCTTTATATATTAATTCATTTAATCTTCATAGCAAACCTATGAACTAAGTGTCTTTATTGTTCCAATGCTACAGGCAGGGAAACAGAGACAGAGAGGCTCCACGATTTGCCCAAAGTTTCACAGATAGTAGGTGGCCAAGCTGGAATTTGAACTCCTGGGCTTTGGAGTTTCAGTTCCTTGAATGCTCTGCTGTAGGGTTAGCATTCTCTCAATTCTGGTACGTTCTCAAGCTGAGCATAGATGCGTTTAAAGTCTTAACGTGAGGGGTACCTGTGTGACTCAGTTGGTTAAGTGTCTGCCTTCAGCTCAGGTCAAGATCTCAGGGTCCTGGGATCTGAACCAAGAGTCAGCCTCCCTGTTCAGCAGGAAGTCTGCTTCTCCGTCTGCCTATGTCTCTGCCTCTCTCTGTGTCTCTCATGAATAAATAAATAAAATCTTCTTTAAAATTTTAAAAATTAAAATTCTCCTTATAATCTTTTTTTTAAAGGCTTCACGTGAATCTTCTCTTGAAGCAGAATCTCTACATGTTAAGCTGCTTGTATGTCTAAGAATTTTACCTGTTATAGGGACGATATTCTGACTACAGCTTGAAATGAGTCATTTGTCTGTGGTTTTGAAGTTGGAGTCATACCAAATTTATATCCAGTGCTGGATACTTGAAAGACTATCATGTCGATCATATTTACAAGTGTACTATACCTAGATGTATACATTTTCCTAAATGTTCTGGGAGTTTTGTTTAAAAATCGAAGGGCTCCCAGAAGAGATTGAGTGTGTTGGTTTTAAAAATGTAGTTTAGGGATGCCTGGGTGGCTCAGCAGTTTAGCACCTGCCTTCTGGCCAGGGCCTGATCCTGGAGTCCCAGGATCGAGTCCCATATTGGGCTCCCTGCATGGAGCCTGCTTCTCCCTCTGCCTATGTCTCTGCCCCCCATTCCATGTCTCTCATGAATAAATAAATAAAATCTTTTTTAAAAATGTAGTTTATTTTTTTAAGATTTTATTTATTTATTTGAGAGAGAGAGAGAGCGACAGAGATAGCAAGCCTAATGTGAAGCTCCATCCCAGGACCCTGGGACATGCCCTGAGGCAGAGGCAGATGCTTCACCCACCAAGCTACCTAGGTGCCCTAAAAATATAGTTTAAAATGTTTGAACACACTTAATTAACTTAGTTTGTAAATGAGACAAACATTATTGTAAAGACCTATCTAGAATAGAGAGGCATGTCTAGAATGAAAAAGGTTGTAAGCCAGAAAGATTAAAAAGTGGGTTGCTGGATTTGTCACACTTCAGTGTTCGATATGAATTGCATTACTCAAAATAAACCTCAGAACAGTACCCCCCCCCGCCCCCGTACACTGAAACCAGCCTCAAGGGCTCTAAAACCTCTGTTCAACAGCTGCCAGCTTAACAGAAGTGAGCAATACAGCTCAGTTCTGCCCTCAAGGAATGTGAGTTCCACAAGGACAGCAGGATCTCTGGGAGTCCTTGTCCATTTTGTTCACAGGTGGACCTCAGTCTGGCACATAGTGGGTGCCCAGTAGATAGGTGTTGAGTGAGTATTTGGCTCTTACAACCCATTGGGTCAGGAATTTGGTGACACAGCTCGAGATGGATTCAGAGAGTCAGGGCCAGATAGAAAGAATAACTGGAATGAAGAGGTCAGGAGAGGCAGCTCCAGATGGCTCAGGACTGGTGAGAGAGAAGCCACCTTTTGGGATCCCCACCCAGTGCCCCATTTCCTAAAGGACTAGGAGCCACCCACCCCCTATCCTGGCCTCTTGGCCTCTTTCCCCATCAACAGGTGGCCTGGCCCAACCCTGTCACCCACGCCTGGCTGCACCAGCCCAACCAAGCCCTCTGCAGGAGGCCCCTGGACTGGATGCCTGCCCCTTTCTGCCCTGTGGTCCTAGCCTCAAGGTGAAGGGCAGGAGGAGAGATGAAGGATCCCTTTGGCCCCGTGGCTCAAGTCTTCTCTACCCCAAATACAAGGCAAGGGAGTCAGAAGGACACAAACATGCAGAGATACAGATACTTGGATCTGGTGACAAGGGGTAGGGGGAGGGACAGAAGGATAGAATTGTGCAGGTGCAGAGGCAGAGACAGAGGGATATTGAGAAAGATAGAGTCACAAGGGAAAGAGAGATAACAGAGAAGGAAAAACACAAGAAAGATCCTGAGGTATAGAGAGACACAGCTGGAGAATCATAGACACATAAAGGGAGCGATGGATATGCTCACTATCGGTGGTGATGGTCAGGCATATGCATGTCAGAACTCATCAAGTCCTACACAGTAAATGTACAGTTTTTTGCACCCTGATTCCACTTCAATGCTGTAAAAAAGAAAAAAGCAGAAGGAAGTAAAGAAAAATAAGACGAGAATTCTAAGGTGTGTTTGGCATATGCACCACTCAGAATCATTAGAAAGAGAGAGAGAATCAAGAGACACAGATAAAGGCAAGGGTTAGAGACACAGGAAAATAGAAAGTGAGAGACAGAAATAGACGGGGTTGAGACACAGGGAAAGAGATAGTGATCCTAAGGCAGAGGGTAAGGAGATACTTGGTGGGTGCTTTATGTCGAGAGAGGCTTGGAAAGATTCAGAGGGAAGCAAAAACAGAGAAGGAAGCCTGTAAATGCTTGAAAAAACAGAGACAAAGTTGTGAAGATGATAAGGCGAGTCAGAGAGAGGGAGAATGAGTGAAGAACACACAGAAAATAAAGAAAAATCCTAAGTACCTAGAAGAGCACCCAGAACTGGTGAGAAGTGTGAGCTCGAGGCTAAGGGGCAGAGGATTCAGGGCAGGATAGGCCAGCCCTGTGGAGACCCCTCCCCATTCAGCTGCCTGGGCCAGGGAAGTAGGGACTGGCCTTCAGAACTGGGTGGGGGGGGGTGCTCTTGGGGTGGAGGTGGGGGGAGGCAGGAGGAGTGATTACTGAGGCCTGGCAGGGCACCTCACTACCTGGGAATGCGCCCCGGGGATCAGTGGGTGGTTATAACCCAGGCTGAGTGCCGGGAGCAGAGGAGGAGGTGGCTGCAGGACGGCACAGGCCTGAGAAGTCTGTGGCTGAGCTGGGAGCGGGTTCCCCACCCCCTACTTGGGGGACATAGCAGGTGAGGCCTGGGGAAGAGGACAGGGAGGGAGAGGTGTCTGTGTCTTGGATGCACCCCTACTCCCTCTTTTTATCCTCTTTCCTTATCCAATGGAGGGGGCTGGATGTCTGCTCCTCTGAAGTCTATATAGTCTCTGGGTTGGGGGACAATGTCCCTGTAGTTCCTGCCTGTACTGGGAAATGGGGCAGAAAAGGAAGGGAGGTGGGGTAAGGGCTCCCAGAATCACCTGCACCTCCCTGCCCTCTGTCCTCTCCATAAGGTACAGTGGCCATGGCTACAGCAGGACACCCCTGGATGTGGATGGTCGGTGCCCTGATCACAGCCCTGATTCTGGGGGTGACAGGTAACCAGAACCCCTGTATGTGCCTGTCGGTTAACTATGCATGGGGCTGTGGGTGACTGGGGGACTCTGTGTGATTGGGTATGGCTCCAGGACTGGGTGACTGTGAGTTGGTGTCCCTATTGATGTTCAGGCGGTGTGTGTGGCTGGGTGCCTGTCACTGTTGGGGGGGGGGCGACGAAGGCGGGGGCTGACTTTCCTCATATCAAGGGACTGCCCGTAACAGATGTACTACCTTGGAGGCTGTGTGTGTGATTGTGTGACTGGGTGTGTGTGCACTTAAGATCATGTGTGGTTCAATATCTGTGTGGACAAATGCACACTATGTGTGTGGCTGTGCATGACTGTCCCTGTGTCACCAGATTGCATGTAACAGAAGTGCTTGTTATCGTGAAAATGTATGGCTAGGTGCTTGCAGGTAACGGTTTACCGTTGTGTGATTGTGGCTGAGTGCGAGACTACGTGTGGCTCTATCTGAGCTGTGTGACCTCTTGAGGTTCTATGTACCGGTAATTGTGACTGCATGTTTATAGGGGACTGTCTGTGTGGTGGTGCTGCTGTGTGGGTGGAGTTTCCATCCCTGCCTTAAGGGATTGGGTGTGCTGAAGTGGCTGTCACTATGAGGCAGTGATTCTGTGAAGGTGTCATTTGCACTCTGCCATGCGGGGGTTACTTAGTATAATATTGTCGCCATGCCAGTGTGCCTGCACGCAGAAGTGCATGTGGTGGTCTCTACATATATGCATACATGCGTACATGTTACTGAGACACTGCGTGCCTGCATGAGATCTTGTGAGGCTGCCACCAACTGTGTGCACACAGCAAGCGTGTGCACCATGAGACGGAGCTGTGCCTGTAGCTACCCCGGGGGAGATGATGTGTGTCTCTCATGCAACTGTGTGTGTGCTTATCTGTGACAGTAGTTGTGTGCGTGTTTCCTGGAGTGTGTGCGGAAAGTGTGAAGGCAGTGCCAGCGCCTGGCATCTCTGGGTCATTGGCAAGAATATGAATCAGTAGACAGACTATGGGGGACTGGTGATGGAGTAGGGTATCTGTGCCTGTCTGTAGAGGGGAGGGTATTGCCAGGAGGATCCAGGAGGTACATTTGTGTTTGAGAATTCCAAAAAATCAGTTCTGCTCTCTGTTGCCACCGCCACCGGGCCCCTCTAGCTGAGCACTTTTCTGCTTCTGTTCCCCCAACTCTCCTTCCACCCACGGGTTCTGACTCGGCCCTCTTTCCTCACCCGCACCGCTAGCCCAGACTATCCACAGTCAGGGTCCCCTTGGGCTGCCGCCCCCACCTCCCGCAAGCCCGGCCCCCTCCTCCATGGCTCTCCCCATCTGCAGCTCCAGAACCCAACCCCTACCTCCTTGCCCGAAGTCAGGGCTCTTGATAGACTCGATCTCCCCGTGTGACCCTGGCCTCTCCAACTACCCCCTCCAACCCTGACCTCATTCACTGAGGCCTGACCCCACTTCTTGAGCTGAGAGGTCCCACCATGAAAGCTCTGGTCTCCAGGCCAACCCAGACTCCACCCCCTGAGCCTTGGCTCCGCCCCTGGGATTGTCCTACTTTCCCCTCCTAGGCCTTGTCCACTGAGCTCTAGCCACTCCCAGGAACCTTGAGGTGCAGCCGAATCCTGTAAACCACCTGATCCTGGACCAGATCTTTTCCTGAGTTCTAAGCCTTAGAAATCCTCATAGGCTTCACCCTCCAACTCCAGACTCCACCCCTAAAGCTCCAGCCCTATTCCCCTCAATATAGGAGCCCTTCTGGAGGTCAGACTTCTGCCGAGTACTACCTCTTGGATCTAAGACCCACCCACTGAGCCCAAGCTCCGCCTTGATTCCGAGCCCAGCCCGCTTTCTGCCCCCAGAGCCTGTTCTTGCAAATGATGTTACCTCCTGCGACAACCCCTCTGACACTGGCCCCTCTGAAAGCACCCGGGACATTGGAGCTGGGGACCAGGAGGACACCAGGGCAGACGAGGGGAGCAGCAGTCGCATCGTGAATGGAACCGACTGCGAGAAAAATGCCCAGCCGTGGCAGGGTGCGCTGTTGCTGGGGCCCAACAAGCTCTACTGTGGGGCCGTGCTGGTGAATCCTCAGTGGCTGCTCACAGCGGCCCACTGCCGGAAACCGTGAGTGGGGCTACAAGAGCAGGGCTGCACAGGGCAGGGGCGGGGGGTGGGGGTGAGGGCTCTGGAGGACAGGGGGCCTGGAGGGGCCTGGAGGAAGGACCTGGGGGGAGGAGGCAGCACGGATGAGGAAGGGGTACAGTTAGCCTGAGATTAAGAATGGAGTTGGGGTGGATTAGGTGTGCTGGGGTTAGGATGGGGAGAGAATTGTGGTAGCGGGTGGGAGTTAGAGATGCATTGGGTTTGGGGTGAGGGGTACATATGTTGAGTGGTTTGGAATGGAGATGTGATTCAGAGTGGCTTTAGAGTTTGGGGTGGAGTAGGGTGGAGATGAAAATGGTGTTGGGATTGGAAATAGCTGTGGGGTTGAAGATGAGGTTAGGGTGAGCGTTACCGATGGGACTAGAGATGGCTATATTTGGAGTTGGGAATTGGTTTGTTGATGGTTTGAGGGTGGGTGAAAAATTAGAGTGAGGTTCAGGGATGGGAATGGGTTGGATTTGGGGCTGGGCATGCACGTGCTGATGATTTGGAACGGAGATGTCACTAGGAGAATTGGAGATGGGAGGAAATGAATTGGGAAGAAATAAGGCTGGAGGCAGGAATGGATGTAGGATTGAGGATGGGGTTGGAATTAGAGTTATGGGGGTTTGGGAGTGGTTGGATTTGAGGTTGAGGTGGTTAGATCAAAGTTTGGGAATACAGATGTGGTGGTTTCTGTGTGGGGAAAGGATTCAGGTTGGGGATTGGATGGGGTGGAATTGGGGTTGAAACTAGATTTGAGATGTGCTCGGCACTGGATATGGGCATAGGGATCAGGTAAATCTGCACCATCTTCTTTAAAAATCTTTAGATTTTTCAGAATCCGTCTTGGCCACCATTCCCTGTCACCTGTTTATGAAGCTGGACAACAGTTGTTCAAAGGGATCAAATCCATCCCCCATCCTGGCTATTCCCATCCTGGCCACTCTAATGACCTCATGCTCATCAAACTGAACAGAAAGATCCGTGAGACTCAGAGAGTTAAGCCCATCAACATCTCCTCGAAGTGTCCATCTGCTGGGACCAGCTGCATGGTATCTGGCTGGGGAACAACCAACAGCCCCAACGGTGAGAGTCCAGGTCCCTCTTGATGCCCACCCATGTCTGCCTTCTCCCCCTCTCTGCCTCTGAGCACTGCCTCTCCCCATCCTTCTCTGTTGCTCACAGTGGCCCTGCTTTGTGTGTTTCTGACAGTACAATTCCCCAAGGTCCTCCAGTGCTTGAACATCACTGTGCTAAGTGACGACCGGTGCAGAAAGGCCTATCCCAGACAGATAGATTCCACTATGTTCTGTGCTGGCGACGAGGCGGGCAGAGATTCCTGCCAGGTAAGGCTCAGGACTTCTGCATTCCTTCAGCAGATACACACTGAGCACCAACTGTGTAACCCGAAACCTTGCTAAGTGCTGAGAACTCAGCCCTGTCCCATAGAAATACAACATGAGTCATACATGTCATTTTAAATTTTCTGGTAGCTACATTTTAAAAAGCGAAAAAGAAACAGGTAAAGTTAGCTGTTCTAATAACGAATTCTATTTAACTCCATATATCCCAAGTAGTTTGATTTCAAAATGTAGTCAATATAAAACAATTATAAATGAAATATTTTACATTCTTTTTTTTAATAGTAAGTCTGTGAAAGTGTGCATCACATGACGGCATATCTCAATTTGGGCTAGCCTTGTTTCAAGTGCTCAACAACCCCATGTGACTAGTGGCTACCACACTAGACAGCACTGGTCTAGAGGGAGAGATCAAGTCTGCTTTATATGGTTGGGCAGGTTGTGCACTGTATACAGATATCACCGCTAAGGAGATTATTACACTCTTCATGTAATAGACATCACAGTTTGGTCTATTTATTTTAGCAAATTTCTTTTTTTTTTTAAGAATTTATTTATTTATTTATTTATTTATTTATTTATTTATGAGACACACACACACACACAGAGAGAGAGAGAGAGAGAGAGAGAGAGAGAGGCAGAGACACAGGCAGAGGGAGAAGCAGGCTCCATGCAAGGAGCCTGATGCGGCACTCGATCCCGGGGCTCGGGGATCACGCCCTGAGCTGAAGGCAGATGCTCAACTGCTAAACCACCCAGGCATCCCTATTTTAGTAAATTTCAAGCAGATGGCAGTTAAGTATCTTGTCATCACAAAGCCTACAGTATGAAAGTTTTCTGACAAATGCTAATACACTGTCTTGAGGAAGGAAAATAAAAACCTTTGCTAGGTATTTGAAAAAAAGAATGTTTAATACAGAGACTTGATTGCAAACTCGTTGGAAGGGCTGGCAGGGCAAAAATGGTTAAAAAAAAAAAATTGTCAGGGGTGCCTGGCTGGCTCAATTGGAAGAGTGCATGACTCTTGATCTCGGGGTTGTGAGTTCAAGTCCCACACTGGGTATGGAGAATACTTAAAATAAAATAAAAAATAAAATTATTTTTAAAAACCCAATGGTGAATAAAATGCATAATAGGATAATTTCAGAGAATATAAGAGCTATGTAGAGAATAAAACATAGTTTTATGATAGTGAGTGATGAGAGGCAATATTCAAAAGGGTGGTTGGAAGGGCCTCCTCAAAGAGGTGGGTAGAGACTGAATGACACAAAGGAGGCAGCCTTGCACAGATTAAGGAAAAGAAAAGCATGTGCAAAGGCCCTACTGCAGGAAGGAGTTTGGCTGGTTCAAAGGACAGAAAAAAAACAGAATGTTTAGGGGAGTAAAGGGAGTGGTGCAGTAAGATTTGAGCCTGAAGAGATGGGTAGGGGCCAGTTAATTCCCAATACAGAGCTCCTCTACGTCCTCATGGAAGCTCTATCTGTTGATGATGACAGAACTTAAAATTAAACTGTTGCAGGAATCAAAACCCTTCCCTGTATTCAGGCTTTCAAGGGTTCTAGAAGGAGGTAAAGGAAGGCACTTTCTGCTGGCAGGATGTACATACACTTCAGTAATATTGGGAATTAGTAAGTAAGCTGGGGCCTTAGAGAGCACTCCTGTCCATTTCTGATGGCTGAGAAAAGGTGCCTCTCCCCAGATTTTACAAGCCTGAAAATTACAGCAACTTCCCAGCGTCATCTCTGTTCCCACTTAATATGGAAACACACATATCTGGATAGAGGAGGAGCCAAAGGGATTTTTATCAGATGAAAGCATATCTAATTCAAATGTCAGTATTTTTAAGATTATTTTAAGTAATCTGTACCCCCAACATGGGGTTCGAATTTACAATTGAGAGTCATGCAGTCCACTGACTGAGCCAGCCGGGCGCCCCTCAAATGTCAGCATTTAAAACCACTTAGCTTTTCTGGAGCCAAGCTTAGCACCTTGTTTTTCATTTTGCAGACCTCAAGTGGCTTTTCATACCAGTGTGTGGTCAGGGTGAGGCCACTCAGAGCAAAAAGTAGTAACAACACTAATCCTATAATATAATGTGGGACTCTGCTTTATGTGGTTCACACACATCAGCTCATTAACTCACTTAGCCATTATGGGTTTTTTTTAAGATTTTATTTATTTATTCATGAGACACACAGAGAGAGAGACAGACAGAGAGAGAGAGAGAGAGAGAGACAGGCAGAGGGAGAAGCAGGCTCCACACAGGGAGCCCAACGTGGGCCTCGATCCCAGGTCTCCAGGATCACGCCCTGGGTCGAAGGCGGCGCTAAACCGCTGAGCCACCCAGGCTGCCCGCCAATATGTTTTTTTAATATTTTATTTATTCATTTGAGAGAGAGAGAGACATGAGAAGGGGTGAGTGGGGAGCAGACTCCCCACTGAGCAGGGAGCCTGATGCAGGGCTCCATCCCAGGACCTGAAGATCATGACCCGAGTCAAAGGCAGATGCTCAACCATCTGAGCCACCAAGGTGTCCATCACTTAGTCATGATTATTAGCTCTATTTTACAGACAAGGAGCCAAGCTCAGAGCAGTTAACTAACTGCATCTCAAAGAAAACTCTGCAAGGATATTACAGAAAATATAATGAGAAGAATTAAGCTGCAAGAAAGTTGAAATTTAGAGATTCAGGCCGCCTGGCTCTTTTGCCTTGAAACAGTGTCTGCTGTTGGGAAAAGAAACCAGGCTCTGGGTTTCTTTATAACTGATACCAGCATTTTGTATAAACGTACATAAGAAATCACAGTAAAGAGTGGTGAGTAGTAGGGACGCCTGGGTGGCTCTGTGGTTGGGCATCTGCCTTTGGCTCCAGTCCTGATCCTGGGGTCCTGGGACTGAGTCCCACATCAGGCTCCCCACAAGGAGCCTGCTTCTCCCTCTACCTACGTCTCTGCATCTCTCATGAATAAATAAATAAAATCTTAAAAAAAAAAAAGAGTGGTGAGTAGTATTATAGGAGAGTAACTGTAGGATTTGCAGGGAGTTGAGGACAGGCAACCCAAAGAAGCAGTTCTCAAACTGCCCCCCACCCCCACCCCAGGGGACATATGATAATGCCTGGTGATAGTTTTGGTTGTCACAGCTCTACCTGGGGGATGAAGGGGGTGACTGGCATCTAATGTATAGAGGTCAAGGATGCTGCTGAACATCTGACAGGGCACAGGATGGCCGCCACAGCAAAGAATGATCTGGCCCCAATGTCAGTGGTGCCCAAGATGGGAAAGCCTCATCCTTCAGGGGCAGAGAGCTGCCTCTCTGCAAAGGTGCAAGATGGACCTGTGTCAGGGGCAGCCAAAGGATGAGGAAGGGAAAGGAAGCCATGCCAAGCATGCTTAGTCAGAAAAATATGGTGTTCAAAGGCTGAAAGAGAGAAAGACAAATAGGGACAGGGAGATGCAGTGAGGGAGACACATAGAGAAGCTGTGGCACTGGGTGGAGAGGACAAACAGAACTTCTAAAGGTGGGACTTACAGGGAAATGTTAACATTCCTCTCTCTCTGTCTCTGTTTTATCTGTGTCTCCTTCCTTGTTTTTGTGTCTCTTCACCTCTCTACTTTTTCCACCTCTGCATCTCTGTCTCTTGCTGCCCTGGCCCTTCTTCCCCTGTGTGTCTCCCTCCCTCCACCTCCCCACATCACTGGGGATGGGCTCCTTTTTCCTCTGCAGGGTGATTCAGGTGGCCCTGTGGTCTGCAATGGCTCCCTACAGGGCCTCGTGTCCTGGGGAGACTTTCCCTGTGCCCAGCCCAACAGACCCGGCGTCTACACCAACCTGTGCCAATTCACTAAATGGATCAAGGACACCATCCGGTCGAACTCATGAGGCATCCCGGGACCTGGCGGCATTCTGGTGTGGCCCCACGATCTGTGGTCCCTCACTCCTGAAGGAACCGTGACACTGTCTCCAGACCCTGCTCCTTACTGCGGGTGTTGGGGTTGTTAATCTCTCCAGCCCCTCCTCGTCTCCTGGAATCGGGCTCCCCCTTCCCCAAACCTGGGCTGACCCTGTCTTTCCAGTCAGGCCTTAGAGACAGTTTCCCAGAATGACCAAGGTGAGGGCTGCCCCTCAGTGTCCCCCATGCTTCGTTCTTTAGACCCAGAGGCTGTCCTTGCCCTGCAGCTGTTACCCAAATTTGGTCTCAGAAATAAAGCATCTGAGGAGAAGTGGGCTCTGTGTGCGGTGTCCCCCACTCACTGAATGGCCAGGCAGCCAGGAACAAGTCACTTTCCCCTTCTGTACCACTATGTTTGCTCTTTGGGACTATTTCAGTTGCAAGAAACAGAAATCCATCCAGGCTGCTTTGCATTTTTTTCACAAATACTGATTATTTTGTGGCAGGAAGTTTCCAGATGCTGAGATACTACAACAGGCAGAACAATATCCTGCCTCACAGAGCTCCTTTTCTCCTAGGGGAAGACAGACAATAAAGAGATAGATGAATACATTACTTGCGATGTAAATAAAATGAGGACAGAGCAAGTGGAAAGAGGACCTTTGGGAGGAGCGGACCTATTTATATTGGATGGTCAAGGAGGGTGCAGGAGGGCGATATAACAACTCACCTGCATCCACAAGATGTCTGCAGCCTAATCCCGGAACCTGGGAATTTGTGGCTTTATATGGCAATGAGACTTCACAGGTGTGATTAAGGATCTTGAGATGAAGAGATGATCCTGGGTTTTCTAGGTGAAACCATTATAATTCCAAGGGTCCTTATAAGAAGAAGTTGTGGGGGTGGTGGGGTGGGCAATGAAGATGAGAGAGAGATTGGAAGATGCTGCTAAGCTGGTTCTGAAGATGAAGGAAGGGGCGTAAGGAATGTGGGTGGTCTCCAGGAGCTGGAAAAGGCACAGGAATGGATTCTCCCTCCCAGCCTCCAGAAGGAATTCAGCCCTGCCAGTCTATGTCTTTATTTTAGCCCAGCATGACGTTTCAGACTTCCGTCCTCCAGAACAGTAAGAGTAAATTGATGTTATTTTAAGATATCAAGTGTGATAATTTGTTTTAGCAGAAACTAACATGAAGGGCCTCTGGGAGGAGGTGGCATTTGGGCAGAGTCCTACACAATGATAAGTAGCTAGCCCAGTGAATTTTGGGGGGATTCAGTGTTCCAGACAGAAGGACAAGGCAAAGGCTCTGATATGGGGACAGGCTGGGCATTTCCCAAGAACGGAAAGAGTACCAATGTACCTGGAACCTCTTGGTTTTCCCTACGAGATTGGGAAGGCTTTAGATGTTTTTAGCCAGAGGGCAACATGATCTGATTCCTGTGTAAGAAGATCATTCACCTATTTGTGGAGGACACAATCAATGGAGCTCCTTATTGGCCAGAGTAAAAAATGAAGAGTCAGTTATCAAAAGAATATCCAAGACTTGGGACAGTCAGATGACAGCCCAGGAGCAGCTAGCTGCCTGTGGGATCTTGTTCACTTTCCTTCGGTGATCTTTCTTTCATGTGTCCCTCTTCTCATTTTCTCCAAAGGGCATTTTCTACTTCCTTCTCAGATTTGGGTGGCATGTGGCCTACCATAGCCTCACCCTGATAACTAGTTCCAATTACTGGTGTTGGCTGCCTGTGGGTCAGGTGCTGACTCTGGGTCCCTCAGCCATGGCCAGAGAGGGGAGGGCACATAGTACAGCGTGAATCCCCCCCATCACCCCTTCACCAGCAACAGTGGGCAAAGCACTGCCCTCAAGAAGGCTATGCACATGGGAGTCAATGGAACAGGACTGAGAGATTTCTCAGTCATACTATTTCTGGAGCTCAGTTTTTCCATCCATAAAATGGGAAGATTGCAGTGTAATGATCTTCACATGTGGGCTCAACCCCTGAAATAATGTATTCCTGGTGGTCAGGAGTGGACGCAGAAAGTCACTCCAGGAAATACCTTGGAAACGGAACATTTTCTTTTTAAGTAAGTTCTAGTCCCAGTATGGGGCTTGAAGTCACAACCCTAAGATCAAGTGTCACATACTCTATTGACTGAGCCAGCCAGGTGCCCCGGAAATGGAATATTCTAGAAAAGGAATTATGTTAGGGAATTTCATAAGTAACAAAACACCAAATTAAAAGTGACTTACATAATAAGGACTTTTAGTATTTCACATAAAAAGAAACTCAAAGTGAGAACAGTTACATGGTCAGTGTGATGTCACTCAGGGTCCAGATTCTTTCCATCTTTCTTCTCTAACATCCTCTGCATTTATTCATGAACTCAATGATGATATACTAAGCCATGTAATAGTCTAATCACTTAGGATAGAGTAATTAAAAAACATTTAAAAATCTCTTCCTTCCTTCAGCTTACATTTTAGCAAGGGGAAGAAAATATGTCCAATTTTTTTCTTCAGGCTTGTAACCTGGCAGGTATAAGATGGCTGCCACAGTTCCAGCCATCACAGCCTCATGTAAACATGATAAAAGGCAGGAAGGAGACCTTCTCCTAGCAAAGATCTCTTCATAGGGAGAGAAAGTCCTTCTCCAGAATCCCTCCCTAACCCCCATTTCTCTCCCCCTCTCCCTTTCTTTCACACACACACACACACACACACACACACACACAGACACCTCTGCAGACTTCTCTTTGGGTCTCAATGGAAGAGAGTCCCAATGTCTGTTGCTGCAAGAGAAGCTGGAAAAAATTTTCTGGCACTTTCAATCTCTATTGCGGGGTGCAGTCTCTGTCCAGAGGGAAGAGGGGGTGATAAATGGCTTGTTGGATAACTACCTCCCTTGTGCTCAGGAATTTACAACTCCTCACAACAATTTGGAGGGACATTCTACAAAGGTTGGGGTGCCAGGTTTGGGGTCATTGACCTCCCCAAGGATTCATCTCTCATCTCTCCATGTCAGTTGTTACCAATCTAGGATTAACATCTAGTATGCTGTGATAGGTGTGGACTTAGCCCAGCTCCAACTGCTCTCAATAAGCAAGTACAAGATGGGTGATGTGGTTTAAGATAGGGACAAATAACCCTGACACAATTGCAGGTGGTAGAGATAGTTCAAAGTTAGAAAATTAAGGGAAAAATATCTAGAACAGAGCAGAATCCTGAGGGGCAATCAAGTATATTTTCCAAAATGACTCTGTTAGTCCATCTGCTTTTGGCAACACAAGAATATTAATTAATACTGTTTCAAATAGGTTTTCACTTTGCATGCCAAGAAATACAGGTAAGGGAAGCTCCAGGCAAAGGATGTCAGGGCTCCAGTTCCACTTCTCTCTGCTTCTCTTGGTTCTCCTTAGTGTGGGTTCCTCATCCTCAAGATTATAAAGATTGTAGTGAATATCTTTTAGAGAAGGATGACCCTTTCTCAGGAACAGCCCCAGCAGAATTCCCTTCATTATTATTGGTCAGAATTGGGCCACATGTTCTCTCCTAAACTAATCACAGGCCAAGGAAAATGGATTAACATTGTTGATTTGCACCAATCAGGGTTCATTTTCCGAGACTGAGATCAGAAATTCCCGTGAGGGGTGCCTGAGCGGTTCAGTGGTTGAGCCTCTGCCTTTGGCTCAGGTCATGATCCCGAGGTCCTGGGACTGAGTCCCGCATTGGGTTCCCCACAGGGAGCCTGCTTCTCCCTCTGCCTGTGTCTCTCCCTTTCTCTGTATGTCTCATAAATAAATAAATAAATAAATAAATAAATAAATAAATAAATAAATATCTTTTTTTTTTTTAAAAAAAAGGAAAAAAAGAAAGTCCCCTGAGTCGTGTTAGCTTGACCAAAGGGACTGCTCCCTGAATAAGATGAAGATTCTCTCATCAAAGAAGGGAAAAATGGGTGGTAGGTAAACAGCTAAGGGGTCTGTAATAGACATCCTTTTAGCAATTTTTTTTAAGATTTTATTCATTCACTCATGAAAGACATAGAGAGAGAGGAAGAGACAGAGGCAGAGGGAGAAGCAGGCTCTATGCAGGAAGCCCGATGTGGGACTTGATCCTGGGACTCCGGGACCATGCCCCGAGCCAAAGGCAGATGCTCAACCGCTGAGCCACGCAGGCGTCCTGTCTTTTAGCAATATTTTAAATTAACTTTTCAGTAAAGAATAATATACAAACAGAAATGAGTCCTTATTATAAATATTATAAACCCAATGAATTTTCACAAAACAGATGACTGTCTTGTAACCAGCACCCAGATGGGGCAGCAGAATATGACAAACTTTCCAGAAGATCTTCTAGGGGTTCCCCTACAGTCACTGCCCCTGCCAAGTGTAGTGACTTTCCTGATTTTTATCACCATCCTTCAGTTTCGTCCATTTATAAACTTTGTATGAATAACTTTAAATGTATTCATATCGATTTGTGGAAATATATTAAATGTATATAAATAAAATCACACAGAGAATTATCTTGTGTTTGACTTGTTTTGCTCAGTATTATATCTGTGTGCTTCATCTAGATTTTTGTTTATAGTTAGTTGTAAACGTCCCCTTCTCATTAGTACCATAGATGGACACTGGGTAGTTTCTTCAACAATTTTAAAGGCAATATGCTGGGACACCTGGGTGGCTCTGCAGTTGAGCATCTGCCTTGGGCTCAGGGTGTGATCCTGAGGTCCCAGGATCGAGTCCTGCATTAAGCTCTTTGCGAGGACCCTGCTTCTCCCTCTGCCTATGTCTCTCCTTCTCTCTGTGTGTCTTTCATGAATAAATGAATAAAATATTTTTAAAAACTGTATACATTTTTAAAAATAAATAAATAAAGGCAATATGCTGATCTAACATCTGTGAAAGCTATAGTGAAAAGTTTAGGAGAAGCAGTGTGCTTGACACTGCCCCTCCAACCCCCCAATCCTTATACTTCTTCCTCCTGTTGGCAGAGCCTGGAAGTATCCTGGGTCATGTTTAGGCTCAAGGGTGAGCAAGAGATCAGAAGGAAGGTGTGTAGGCCAGGGGCAGAGATAGATATGTTGACATGTTGTGATCTCATCTGACTCAGTGCAGGGCAGCCTGGGCAAAATTGAGATGTAGTTGCTGATTACCACACAAACCCAACTATTGCTCAGGGTGGCAGGTAACCTGTATAAAGATGTTCGCCCTCCATGTGGGTGGCCATTGATTTAGTTCTAAGCATAAGATGTAAGCCAAAACCTAGTGGCTGGGTTTCTCTGGGAAATTTTTGTTCTGCTGATAAAAGGGTAGGCATTATGTTTGGAACTT